GATCCCTATAGATGGAGGGGAGCAGTTGACTTACTTGGAGTGGGGTGCAAGAATATGGATAATTAGTAGTGAGAGGCTGTTTTATTCTTAAACAATGGTTGTTTCTCTTTATTTCACAACACAAGAACCCAATGTTTTCTCGCGGATGGTCAGAAAACTTCTACTTTCAAAACAAAATCCATCTCTGTTGGTATTGGATCCAACTACAAGGAAAAGTGTTTCAAGAAACTTTCATGCAACATGTTGTCATCAGGTCCTGGCCTGGGTGGGCGTTCGTCATTTGCAGAAGCGTATATGCGATTGCAAAAGCTCGAGCGAGATTATCAACACGCATGCGAGAAGTATACAGAATTACGAGTAAGCATCTATGAAATAACAAAATAGTGATTATTTGTACTGTTGTTAGAACTTATATATTTACTCCAAGTTTATAAGATAATGAACTTTATGGACAGTCAAAGTTGTATCCGTACTGCGTTGTAAACTCAAAGCATTACAGTAGATGGATTCGATATTGTATCGATAAATGCGAGGATGTGGTGGAGCAACTGCAGATGGTCCTCATAACCAATCAATATCGTAGCTTAGTAAATCATACCATGTATTTTTTGTGTTTCCGGTGTCAACAATATTGGTTCAGAGCAAGCAATTCTTTTTGATGCACGGTTGTAAAAGCTTGGCACTGTTGGAACCATTGTTTATTAAACAAATGGGTTCTTGTAAACTGAATGAGAAAATGAGTTTGCATTAATAAAGGCACATAAATTAAGTGGAGATTGCACTAACAAATTATCCCACATCGATTAAGTGGAGATTTTTTGTGCAATATTTAAGTGTGTTAGCATTAGTAGTGTTCAAAACAAGAACACACAATGCACCATGGAGAAGAAAAAGGAAAACCACACGCGCACGGCTCGGGTACGCGCTTCCCTTACCGACACCCGACACGCTCTCCGGATTTTCTGGGCACGCTTCGCTTTCCGCTTTGCTTTGCACGCTTCCCACTTATGAAAACAGGACTGAGCGTCCTCATCTTCCTCTATGAAAACAGGCAATACGTGAAGCTATGATTCAGGCACGGAGACTGAATTTCAATGGATCTCCTGATCAAATCGGACTCGCTTCAGGTGATACAAGCGATCAATCGAGACTCTCACATAGCGGCTATACACGGCATCCTATCCGACATTAGGATATCTATCCCCAATTTCAATTCTATTCAGTTTATGTATATCCCTAGACGGATTAATGTTGTTGCTGATTTACTAGCCAAACAGGGGCTATGTTATGTAAGAAACAGTTCTTAATTTAACGAAGCAGTTTAGTTC